AAAGATTAGTTCACGGCGAAAGATTAGTTCACAGAGAATGATTCGTTTGCAATGAATGATTAGTTCACAGAGAGTGATCCGTTTGCAATGAAAGATTAGTTCACAGTGAAAGATTAGTTCGCAGAGTGTGATTAGTTCGCAGTGAGTGATTCGTGAGTTCAATATGAACAAATATTTAATATGACTCGGTAGTCACGAGTCACGAATCTTTCATATGACTCGGTAGTCACGAGTCATATGAAAGATTCGTTCATTTTGAACGAATCAGTCGCGAACGACACATCACTACAGACCAGCATTCACCACCGACCAACGACCACAGCAGCACACACAGGGAGCACGGAGCAGCACACAATAGTGAAAGATTAGTTCACAGCGAAAGATTAGTTCGCAGAGAGTGATTTGTGAGTGATTCGTGAGTTCAATATGAACAAATCTTTCATATGACTTGGGAGTCACGAATCTTTCATATGACTCGGGAGTCACGAGTCATATGAAAGATTCGTTCATTTTGAACGAATCACTCGCGACGGACACATCACTAACAGGAAGCACAAACTTCGTTTGAGTGTAGCGGCGCGTGGAGACAACATCGTCTCCTGTTTTTCTTTTACAATAACTGTGTAAAAAAGTTAAAAAATACAATTATGCTTACCCGACTCTTGCTGTCTTGCTCCTCCCAAACGAATCGTTCGACTCCTGTAGAGCCTGTTTGTCCTGGGACAGACGGTCAGCAGCGGGCGTATGGCTGGGGTCTGAACCTCACTGGATGTTTGGCTTCTCCGCAGACCAGGTCCTCTGCTCCGGTGGTTCTCTCTATTATCGTACTTCACACCTGCTTGATGTCACTGATTTATCTGTGAAACACCGCAGGTTTTGGACCCGGGTTTAAACCGTCTTCAACCCGCGGAGGTGCAATGGTCACAGGTGGAGCTTGGTTGGGGTACACCGCTGCTTCTTCAGTTTCTCGGCTCTCTGCTTTGTTGAGGCTGTCGTTAAGATCCTGCAGCCTCTCCGCACGGCCAGTTAAACCTGCAAATTGTTTTGTTTTTTTTTTTTCAATAAAACTTTTTTATGTTTTTTGTGAAAACATAAAAAAGTTGAAAAGAATGAAATAGTTAAAATAAAATAAACGGTACCTATATCCGATTGTGTAAGACTGATTCCGAGTAACTCAGAAGAACTCATTTAAAAAAAGACAAAAATCAAATAATTACAAAATAAAACTAAAAAACAACTTGTTTAGTAAATGCGGTGAATCTCAGTCATAACTTCTAAAACACAACGGATACCAATAATTTGACTTTCTACAAAGTAAAAAAGTAACCAAGTATTTAAGATTTGCGAAGTTGAGTTTTACCAGTGCTCATCCTTGTTAGTCGTTCGTCGTCTCTGGCGAATGTAACTGGAGACGGTCTCGTAGGTGCGCTTATATTGTGTTTCAAACGAACGTGTTTGTGGTGAAAATGGGGCGACTGGTCTTTAACGGGGATCATTGTGTTTTTAAAGTTTTTTTTTAAGAATCCAGACATTAGTGACTCTTTAAAGTGTGTGTGTGTTTGTATGTGTGCGGGTGTGTGGAGGTGTGTGTGTGTGCATGGAGGAGTGGTAAGTAGAGCAGCAGCCGGTGGAGTCAACAGGTTAGAAAAAACTCAGCAGTCTGAG